CAGACTCTGTATGTGGAACTGTTTAGCAAGCCATTAAATAATTGTACTTTGAGGATTCAGAGAATGATGCTCAAGCTGCGAATGTATGATTTAGCTGTAAATTAGGTAAATTAAGCTTTAGTGTAAATGCACTCTCTAGAGCTATATATGCCCCTGTGGAACCAGTAAATACCTTTAAGACAGAGGTGCAAGTTTATGTAGATTTAATTATCAAGTCACAGATAGGAAACTGCAGCAAATAAAACCAGAAAGAGTGAAAGATAATTCCTTGGGACTCCTGAAAGAAATGATAGTTAGAGGGGCCAGAAGACAACAGTGACTGCAGTAGAGCTTTTAACAGATTATTACTATAGGCATGAATTTTCAATAACAGAAGGAATAATTGTTAAAGACTAGGGATAATTTTTAAGGGGTAATCGTTGAGATCAATGAGCACTCCCAGAGAGCTCTCAAGACCTAAAAGAAAAGGTAGACATGGGCTATTCTCAACCGACTGTTCCTACATTAAATTGAAAAAAGAACCAGATCATCAGTAAGTGAGCTCCTCAGTAGGCCTGTGTGAAGCTTTAGTCCCTGATTCGATTCAGCAGAGATTCAGCCCAATTTGGTGGCCAAATCTCAATCTCCGAATCTGAATCAAACCAGAGAACCCTTTAATCCCTCTGAACCGAATCGGAACCCTCTGAATCAATTCGGAGAGATTCAGAAAGATTCAGCGATTCGGACATAGAGACAGCTTTAAATGTTTTTTCTACATACCTCTAGGTAGCAGGCGGCTCATGAATACTGCAGTGCCAGGGTGGATCAAGTGTCCCATAGAAGTGCAGGGGGCTCCCCAGGATGCTTGGCAGCAAACCCGGAAGTGGGGATCCACAGGGGAGTGAGTGGGGGCACGGGGCCCTGAGGGACACCACTGGCCACTTTGCGCCAGGACGACACAGACCCGTTTATGAGAACTCTCTGGGTCCTACCATGTAGCCAGTTCAGAATGACATGCTAGTAACCTCTCCTCTGCAGATGGGTGCTAGTTGACTTTTTTTGTAGTTATTGTTAAGTGGGAAGATGTGTAGTGATCGAAGTTATAATTTAGAGATGCATCCTAATTTAGTCTTTTCTAGACCCTCTCAAGTTTTTCTACATCTTTATTGAAGTGCAGTGCCCAGAACTGGATGCAGTACTCCAACTGTGGTCTCACCATTGCTGAGTACAGCAAGAGTATCACTTCCTTAATTTTACACAAGATACATCGGTTGATGCATGCCAGCGTGTTGTTTGCCCTGCTGACTGCTGCCTTGCACTGATGGCTCATATTCATATGATGGTCGATCATTATCCCTATGCCCCTTTCAGCCATGGTGCAAGTCAAGTTGTCACCACCAAGTCTATATGTATGTTGAGGATTGTTTGCCCCCGGATGGAGTACCTTACACTTGGAAGTGTTAAACTTCATCTGGTTCTGGTCTGCCCAACTCTCGTGCCTGTCCAGGTCTGTCTGTATCTGCAACCTATCATCTGGCATGATCACACTGCCCCATAACTTGGTGTCATCCGCAAACCTGCCCAGTGAGCTTTTCACTCACCCATCCAATCATTGATAAATATGTTCAAAAGCACTGGTCCAAGCACAGACCCCTGAGGGACACCAGTGGCCACTTTGCGCCAGGATGACACAGATCCGTTCATGAGAACTCTCTGGGTTCTACCATGTAGCCAGTTCAGAATGACATGCTAGTAACCTCTCCTCTGCAGATAGATGCTAATTGATTTTTTTGTAGTTATTGTTAAGTGGGAAGATATGTAGTGATCAAAGTTATAATTTAGGGATGCGTCCTAATTTAGAAGAGTTGGGAATTGGGACATGGTTCCTCAGGGAATTAAAGACAAATGGCTTGCAGAGGTTAGCCTACTGCTCTACAATTAACATTTGTAGTTTAGTTCTTCTCATTCAGGTATGCCTGTGTTTACTGAACCCAATTATCACTACACTTATAGTCCTCGGTGGCTCTCTATACCTCAAGCTGAAGCCCATGATTCTTCAGATTCACTGTGGTTGGTACCAGAGCTAGCCAAATTAGAGCTAGCTCAAACATGTGTACACATGCTGTGATCTTACCTGCAATATAGACAACCCATCCTTTTCTTAGCTAGTTTCTGACCCATAACAGTACTTTAACTCTTATTTCAAGAACTTGGAACTTTTTCTTAATAGCCCCTCCGCGTAGAATTCTTCAAAGGTGTATTTAAAGTCTAAATGAATTATGGAAACTATTTTCTCTTTTATCAACTATATCAACTAGTAGACTGATATGGTCAAAGGACTGAGAAAGCTGATTTAAGACATGGTAGTTCTGGGGGCAACTAACAAACTTCACCACCTACTAATACCTTTGCAAAGCCTGATTTCATACATACATGCTAGAAGGATTTCTGTGGGAAGAGAACTGGAGAGGATAATAAAGGATCCATTTTAAAGCCAGATGAGCTCCATAGGATCCACACCCAATCTACATAGCACAAGGCACTGCAATTCAGCCAGCAATTCTTGCAACACAAGAAATGTTCAGACTTCATTTCTATAGATAATGTTGTATCATCTATTCTTCTCCTTCTGATTCCTCCTCCTCTTCCTACTACTGCTACTAACAAGTGGGACTGAAGCCTTACTGTGCTATGTTTTGTAGATATATATGAGAGGTGGTTCTAACTGAAGACAGGACAGGCAAGACAAGTGGAAGAAACTGACAGAACACACGTGCTCCCTGTTGGGAGCAAATCTGCTCTCAACAGGAGCAGCTGGGTACAGGGCTGCTCTTACCTTGCTATGTCCCCCTGAAGCAGCCAGGGGGAGCTCCAGTCTTCTCTAGGGTGCTGGCCCAGGGGCTGTCAGGGAGCACAGGGCCAGTCCTTATGTGTATGGGGCCAAGTGAGCTCTGCCAGCTGCAGCGGCAGCTGTCTCCTTGCCCCATACACATTGGGAAGGTTCCTGATGTGCCTGGGGCAGGGAGACAGCTGCCACTGAAGAACTCTCCCGGCCCTGGGCACATGGAGACAAGACCTTTGCCCAGCAGTGCTTCCCCAAGCAGCTGGGGGCAGGGTGGGAGCTGTTCCCCTTCTGACTGGTAACATATTTGCTCTCAACTGGCATCTATACACGCAAGTTTACTACCTGTATTTCCAGGTAATAGCTAACTGTGCAGTGGACTAATTTACTACACACTAAATGCTGTGCATGTGTAGATTAGTCTGCTGGTCAGTAAAGCCTCTTGTGTAGAAACCCCCCACAATATCTTTCTTCTTAGGAAGTAAGCTTGGGGAAACCTGCCTTTCTGAACCGTATCAAATATTTAGTTGTGAGATACTCTAAAAATGTTTCTTTAATTTTGAGCTCATTTTTGTGAGAGCTTTATATAGCCTGCAGCATGCCTTCAAAAACTGTAAATTCTTCAACCTCTAAGAGAGAAATGAAAGACAAATGGGTGTCTGACACAGAATCTTAATCAGAAGAGCAACAATACAGGTATCCACTTCAAGGTAATTGTAATTGTGTAATCTCACTCTTAGTGCATCTTTAGTGTCCATTTAGACACTTTGTGGATGGCTGTAACAACCAAAGGAGATGCTGATGGAGGAATATCAATACTTAAAACCCTTAGAAGGAGCTTGATACCTCTGATTCGCTTGGTTTGGGGTAGAACAGATGAATAACGGCATTGCTCACAAACCCTTTGCAGTTCCCAAAATTATTTTGGCAGACCTGGAAATGGACTGGAAGTACTTCCAGTCCGCTTCCACGTTCACTGCTGAGCACATGGAGGGCCCCCCACACTCCTGTGGGACGCTCCATGCACCCCAACATCGCAGGGATCACGAGCCATGCCTGCTACCTCAAGGTACATAGAAAAAACTTTTAAAGCTGTGTCTGTGTCCAAATTGCTGATTCACTGAATCAGCATCAAATCTTCAGATTCAGATTTGGCTGGATCAAATCAAGGACAGTGATCTGAATCAACAAACTGAATCACTGTCCCTGATCTGGGCTTGGATTCCAGAATCCAGCAGTGGGGGCAGGAGCAGGCCCAATGTGGTGGGGAAAGGAGCTATCTTCATTCGCCAACCCTGTACCCTGGAGCCGACTGTGCTGCAGGGTGGTGTGGGCCTGGACCCCAAGTGGCAGAGGGGGAGTGGCCGCAGCCCTGGCATGGGTGGGTAGCAGGCCTGGGAAGGGTGGAGTGGGCCTGAACATGCTCTTGCCCTCCCACTATTGCCATGGCAGGGAATGGGGGAGTGGTCCTTGATCCCAAGCAGAAGGTGGAGACTGGGCCCGGGTCCGGCATTGAGGAGTGGGGGGAGAAGTGAGCCCACCGCTGTGGTGGGGGGAAGAAGGAGCCTGGGGAAATGCGGCAGCACTGGGGGGAGGGGAAGAGTGGGTCTCCTCCTCCCCTCGGGCCCAGGTCCATTCCTGTCCCATCCTCCTCCCTTGTGTTGGTCCTGAGCCCACTCCTCCTGTCCCCTGTCTGCTGCTGGGTTGGACTGGGCCCACTGCTCACCCCCCACCACAGCAGCCTGACTTCTCCTTGGGGGCAGTGAGGGAAGTGGGCCTGGACCCCAGCAGCAAGAGGGAAGCAGGGAGTGAGACCAGAATGTGGGGGGGAGGCACGGGGCTCCATCCCTGCCTGCTCCCCTCAGTAAAGTGAACTGAGAGCTGGTGAAAGGCACTGAAATGACAGTTCTGAAGCACAAACATGCTGTATAGGTTTCCCTCAAAGGGTCTCCATTAATGTGCCTGTGGTTTGAAGAAGCTACTGTAGAAGGATGTGCATCTCCATACTCATTTAACTGTTGCCATTGCATCTGGAACAGCCAATAGCAATAAAAGCTGCAGAGGTAGCGAATAGCCAAGCCAGAATTAGTAGAATCAGCTCAATATACCTATGCCACATCTGCCCTTGGCATGATTTGGCCTACTTCTAAAAGTGAGAATTATTTTGAAGGGTACATACCTGAAGAATAACCCAGTGACCCTCCTTTGCAGCTAGGTCTAGGGCTTGCTCTGCTACTACTTCTTGACCTTGTCCAAGGGAAACATTGTGGAAATTCCTGTTGTCAAACGTGTAACCCAGTTTTTTCCCTAAAAGAAAAATGCAAAAAATGAAGCATTTTTTTTCTTTTTCTTTTTTTAACCAGAAAGGGGTATATAGTCGATTTCTCACAGTAAGAACAAGGCACAGTTCATGCTTATCAAGACTTCTGAATAATTATCTTATTTCTAAAGCACTTTTTATCAAGGCATGGAAAACAGCACTAGCTTCTTCTAAACTACCTTTAATTGAAGTATGACACTGGGCACATCTACATGTGCATTAATATGCTTTTCTAAAGCACATTAAATTTAGTACCTCCAATGTGAGGTACTAAATTAATGCACATTAGGCTGCACTAATGTGCAATAGCACCTTTGCATGCCTTTTAGTGATGTTTAATGCATAGTAGACTGTTTTACTGAGCATTAGTGTAATGTCACTTTTCTATGTGATGCTTTAATACACAGCAAAATCATCTACTGAGCATCAAAGCGCACGTGTAAACGTGCCCACTAGCACAAAGGGTGATTATTGAAAAATAGCTTTATTTAAAAATATTACTCTCCTGTAACCTTGTATTAAAATGCATTTTAAATTATATTAAATTAAAGTAATTTCCTGCTGATTAAATAAGCTTTGAACCATACATTTAGTGGAGAAATTCAGTCTGCTAATCCACAATATAACTAGCAAAGTTTTTAGGTTACTTTCATTTCTTAAAAGGTAGCTGAAATGAAGTCAGTGCTGGTGCCTTGTACTGTACATCATATAGTATTTCTGTGCCCAATGCGGCAATAGCAGGTCTTCATAGGAAGGGCTGTTCTGGAGGAAGGACTGCACACTGGGAGTGTCTACACGAAATGTTACATCTCCGTAGTAATGAGCTACAGTGATATAGCTCATCACTATGGCTACAAAGCATCAGTGGGTGCAAACCATGACACCGAAGCTACTTGCTTGTTGCTACTATACAGTAGGGTTAGAAATGACCCATGCACTGCTGGAACTGCACATTAACAACTGTACAGTTGAGCACCCATGTAGATGCACCCATTGAATATGTCTTTGTACCCAGTTCCTGCAACTCAGGAAGACAAATATATTCTCTCAGACAACACAAGACAGTAAGCCCTCAGCCTTCAACACAAATGTGACCTCGGTTACATCAAAAAAAAATCCACTGGCAATTTACAGAAAACGGTCACCATAGTGAACATCAGACATAAAGATGTGATGTGCATTTTAGTTACCACTGCTCTCACACCAGAGAATTATTGTGGTGTTTAGATTGTCCCTTACCTGTTATAAAACCTCTTTGGCCTGCCTGTAGCCCAAAGCATATATCTTTTTCTATGCAGCTTGCCAGAACTGAATCTAAGAGGGAGTCTCCCTGACTCTGATCCTAAGGGGTAGCAGTTTACAACATACATTAGTATTTGAGTACAACATTCACTCTTTTTTTTCACTGGCCACATCTACATAGGATGCAGACTGTGCAGTAGTTCAAGAATACTGTGCAGTAGTGTTGCACGGCAGGAAGCATGATGCAATGCTACTACACAGTACTAACAAAGTACTGCACAGTCAGTGTCATGAAAAAGCTATTCAGCAATGCTACTATGCAGTAACTCCAGTTACTGAGCAGTCATTTAGCACTTATTTATACAAATACTAAATGACTGCACCGTAATGACCATGCAGTCAGCATCTCATGTAGATGGGGCCACTCAGTAGAGAAAATTATAATTTCCTCTTTCCTAGTGTCAAAGCACATAATAACATCAATTAGCAATGCATAATCCTCCAAGACTTTCAAGGGTTATAGCTCTTTCAGGTGGGCCATTTATCTGTAGGCTTTAAAGCTACAGAGAAGGATGTGATAGATGCTAGCTTAGGACTTATGAGAACCAAGTTCCATGCTCTACTCTGCCAATAACCACTTAGGCCTAAATGCTATTTTGTTTTATATACCTAAATGGCACATACACAGGAAGGTAGGTCCAAAAAAGAGAAAGGATCAGAGCTGATTAACATGACTGCAATCCAGAGCTGAGCTGGCACTATGGCTGGGGGTGGGGGGTGGGGGTGCAGAGAATGCCTTTTCCTACCACAATCTAGAAGGAACTAACTACAACGATTTGAGGACAGCTTTTATCACAGGCAGGGGTGCCAACAGGTATCTCCAGGAAACCTGACTCGTGCTTTACCTTGCTACTGTGCCTTCAAGGATAAAAATACTTTAAGGGTTAAGACAGTTTCTGAATCCAACTGATCTAAGACAACAGAATGAGAATCCTTCATGGTCAGAAGCTTTAGAGAACATATACAGACTGTAGCAGTCCAGGATGTTACTGAAAGCAATGTTTTATCAAATGGAGCATCTTTATAGAAGCTCATTTTGTTCTGTAATGACCAGATTGCACTAGCCTTCACTGCTTACAGAGCAGAGATCAAATATTGGAAATTCTTTCTGGGAAAATGTTATAGGAAAAGTTACTATTTTTAGCTATTGGTGGTAATATTAAAACTCTATGTAAATTATAGGTTGTATGAGGAAAAACTCATGCCACAGCAGTGTGGACATTACTGACGTTCTAGATAATGTATGGAAGATACAAGTTCAAACTAAATTTTAGGTGAACATTCACAAAATTATAAAACGCATTCTCCCATCATTATCTGTTTTTAAGTTTTTCCATATGGAAACAAGAGCAAGGTAAGTAGTTTCACGCCAAGATAAAGACATAGAAGATAAATAATAAAAAATAAAATTATGCTGTTGTCCATTGGGAGGCATCACTTGTTTACCTTGTTTCTCCACATCCTTCAGAGGATCAACACCAGGGGACAGGATGAAGAACACTGGGGTTGCAGGTCCTGACTCCTCATAGGATATGGCAAAATCCAGATATCTTCCTATTGTATATTTACTCCCAAGCTTTTCTTCAACAAAATCCCTGCCAAAAACAACAACATACATATATACATATATGTACATGCATGTTCTGGGTGGGAAGGTGCACAGCATTGTATAGTATGCTTGTACCTGGACAAGGGTAAGTACCCTAAACTGTTGCCGCACAAAACTCATAACTAGAAGGTGTTAGATGCAGAGTGAAGAGAGCAGTCCTGCAATGGTTTACACTAACAGATAAAACATTTGGTTTAGGCACTATCCAGGAAGCAGCAATATAGGGATCCTTATGATTTGAACCTGGAACTCTAGTACCCATAGGTAGAAGTCCAGACCACAGGCCTACCAGGTGGCTGGCCAGTTACCAACTCCAGCTCAGTGTACACCCAATGGGAGCTGAAAGCACATGATTGGGGGGCTATAAAACTTTCCCAACTTCCTGCAGGGCCTTGCCCCTCAGCAGCATTACTTGATTTAGCTACTTAGTACCCTTCTGCTCTGATTCCAGTTAAAACTTGTTACTGCCTTGGATTGACTGTCTGCTTTGACCACAACCCTGATGTTGTAGAACTTGAACTGATACCCAGCTTTGACATTGGCTTTCACTTTGATAAGCACCTGTCTTAGCATGAATCACTAAGACTGACTGCTTATACCTCAGTCAACCCTGCTATGCAGCTGAAGACTTTAGATGTGCCTCCTGTACCCAGAGGCCATGTCTACATGAGACACTGGCTATGCAGTCATTACTGTGTAGTCATGTAGCACTTGTATAAATAAGTACTAAATGACTTCCCAGTAACTGGAGCTAGTGTGCAGCAGTGCTGCTAAACAGATTTTTCATGTTGCTGACTGCACAATAGCTCATGACTACTATACAGTCAGCATCTCGTGTAGACACAGCCAGAGATAGCTTGAATCTACAGCCCTGTAAGTTTCCAGCACAGGGCACTTATGTGAAAGACTGTCAAAATGTCCACTTTTGTAAAATGCCCTCATCTTAGTCTTTAAAACTAAGTCACAAAAAGAAGTAAAGAGAAGGACTCATGGCCTTTTGTGTTAACGTTTTTTTCAGAGGTTAGAGCAAGACAGAATACAATTGCATTTAGGTGTTAATGTCCAGAGGCATCCCATAGGTAGAACAGTATCTGGCTATTTTTGCCATCTTGTCATTGGCTTCCAAAGGTCCCTAGTCCTTAGTTTATTTCTATGCTTTTGTTTTTTCCTTTTCTCACACACACACACACAATTTCCTCCCTCATCCCTTTTTCTCTCCTGATTTCTAGCTCCTCTCCCAATTTGATACTTTCGTGTCCCACCCCCTCCCCCAAGTCTTTCTGATTGCCCCACATGAAAGCACCAGTTTGTGCACTTCATGTCTTTTCATTTTTATTTTACACCTTTTCCATCTGAAGTGAAGCCTCATTTTCTTCCTGGTAAGAAATGCATACACAGAGAGGAAACCATGCATATCACTGTTCAGAAATGAAAAGGAAGTTAACTACACAGAAAGTAATTCAACTAAGCAACACAGAAAGGCTCTCTTTTGGTAAATGGAGGGTTAATTACATTCAGTAAGTAAATAGGTATTGTTTTCAGTGTCATAATGGATAAAATTGCCCGTTTGTTCTGGAATACCTAAGGGTGGAATTCTAGCATCCTGTATGCACCTAAGTGGCATTTTTACAGCTTCATGGGTGTGTCTATACATGTAATTAATGTTATTTAGATTTACTGCACAGTAATTTACTGCATGGTAAACCAGCCTTGGGAAGGCATCTACATATGCATCCTGTTGGGAGTGGATTTTCTCCTTACAGCTAGTGACAGACATTACACATAAACCAGTTTAAGTGATCAGAACCTGGTTTAAACCTGTAACAGAACAGCTGTTCAGTGCACATAAACCATTTTGAAAATGGCTGAAACTGGTTTGAGAAACCTGGTTGAATGTAGTATCAGACTTAACTGATTTGGCTCAAACGGGCTTATGCAATGTCTGCACCAGACCCCTTGCTTGTTTAAGATAAATTAGACTCCCCCAGCACACTCTCTGGACTGGGAGGGGCTCTCTGTTCCACATCAGGGCTGGCCTCTGCTCCCTGGCTGCAGCTCCAGAGACTTGCAGGATGCTCCCCCCTTCCCCTCAACACTCCCTCCTAAGCAGCACACACCCCTCCCCCTCACCTCTGCCTTCTTGAGGAGCTGTCTATGTATTAGCTAGCAGACCACATACTGGTAAAATAACCAACAGGTAGCTGGTAATGTCCCTCTGTTGTTTTCTTAATGTGGTGATAAACACTGAGTTAAGGGTCATAAACACTGTTATCAGTTCCCTGCTGGGCCTGGCCACCCCCTTTCCCCCTCAGCTCAGTACTGTGGAAGGAAGGGAGGGCTGCTTTAACGCCACCCCCTCCCCCCGCCCGGCTTCTAACCTAAGCCACTGTAGGCATGTGCCTGCATTTCTGGGATGTCTGTGTGGTTACCAAACTGATTTAGCCTAGCCAGGTTAGAGTAACCTGATAATCAATTCAGGCTCAGGCTTTTTGAATGCCTGTTCCTAGCCTATAGGATTAATCAGATCTATGCCTGCTCCTGCCCTGCTGTGAACTCCTGCAGCAGACAGGGGGAGCTGCCAGTTCTGGATGCAGCTCCTCAGGTGCCAGGGGACAGGTTTAGTCTGGCAGGGGGCAGACTCAGGCTGACAGGGACTTTGGGTGCCATCAGGTCTGGGCACATACCCAGAGCAAAGTGGGGTGCTGCCCAGGGGCCAGGCAGCTGCAGGCACAGGTCCTGAGTGTCAGGCCAGTGGTCTGCAGGGTTGCTGGAGCTGGCACATGCCCACAGCACAGGGACATGGTGTTCTGGGGCCAGGGAGTAGCTAACACAAACCTTGGGGTTAGGCTGGGGTTCTGCAGTACTGCTGCAGCCAGCATGTGCCCACCACACCAGTACATAGTGGCCAGGGCAGGCATCAGCTAGCCCAGGCCCCAGAGGTCAACCTAGGGGTCTAAAGGCCAGCCAAGAACTGCTAAAGAGCTGTCTCTGTCCCATGGCTGGAGGGACTCCCAGCTCTGCCCCTTGCAGGAGGCTGGCCCCCTGGGAGCAAATTTGCTCTCAGTCAGCATCTATGCAGGCACTACAGCAACTTAGCCCATGCATAGTAAATCTACTACCTGTAAATACAGGTAGCAGATATACTGCACATTAGCCAATTTTACCACTCAGTAGTTCAGCACACAGTTACCTAGTGATGCCTTACTGTGCAGAAGATTAGTCTACTGTGCTGTAAAGCGTCTCATATAGACTTACCTTAGAGTGACATTTCTGGCACTTACACATAGTTTGTGACTATTTCTTGTGCAGTGTGGATACATCAGCGTGCACATGTGCTTGGCAGGCCCACAGGCAGGTTTCACAGATTTCACAGACGTTAGGGCTGGAAGGGACCTCGGAAGATCATCGAGTCCAGCCCCCCACCCGAAGGGCAGGAAGTCAGCTGGGATCATAGGATCCCAGCAAGATAAGCATCTAATTTACTCCTGAAGGTGTTCAATGTAGGTGCCTGAATGGTCTTGCAGTAGTTTATAACCGTTCAATCTTGTCATCCCGTGGGGCACTCTGATGAACAAACGTTCCCCCAGATACTGATGGTCACCCCAATAAACTTATAGGTGGCCATCAGATCACCCCTGAACCTGCGCTTTTCCATGCTAAAGAGCCTCATAGATCTCAGCCTGTCATAGTAAGGTCTGTTTTTCTGACCTCTGATTATGCGCGTGGCTCTTCTCTGGACTTTCTCAAGCTTCTCTGTATCCTTTTTGAATTGTGGGGCCCAAAACTGGATGCAGTACTCCAGCTGTGGCCTCACCAAGGCTGAGTACAAGAGGAGAACGACGTCCTGGGATTTGCTTGGATACAAGCCAGCATTTTGTTCGCTTCACTAGCCACAGCATCGCATTGCAGGCTCATGTTCATGTTGTGGTCAATGATGACCCCCAAGTCACTTTCTTCCCTAGTACTAGCCAGCGTAGCACTGCCGAGCCTATAAGGATGCTGCAGGTTTTTCCTCCCAAGGTGGAGAACCTTGCATTTTTCAGTGTTAAACACCATCAGGTTCTCATCCACCTATTTGCAGAGCTTGTCCAGGTCAGCCTGGATTGCCCTCCTGTTTTCTGGTGTGGATGCTTTGCCCCAAAGTTTGGTGTCAAACTTGGCCAGTCCGCTTCTGACTCCAATGTCCACATCATTAATGAAGATGTTGAACAATATGGATCCAAGGACAGAGTCTTGGGGGACCCCACTGGTCACAGGGCACCATGACGACTGACTTCCATCAATTACCACCCTCTGAGTCTGACCACAAACCCAATTTCCCAGCCACCAGATCGTGGTGGACCCAAGGCCACAACTGGCCAGTTTCGCCAAAAGGTGATCATGGGATACCAGATTGAAGGCTTTTTTGAAGTTAAGATATATGACATCAATCACTTCTCCCTTGTCCAGGTGATAGGTCACCTGGTCATAAAAGGAAATGAGATTGGTCAAGCAAGACCTACCCGCAACAAACCCATGCTGGCTGTCCCTTAGGATGTTGGTGTTGGCCAGTCCATTAAGGATGGCCTCTTTAATAAACTTTTCTAAGATCTTCCCTGGGTTAGAAGTCAGGCTGATGGGCCTATAGTTTGCTGGATCCACGTTCCTCCCTTTCTTGAAGATAGGCACCACATTGGCCTTCTTCCAGTCTTTGGGCACTACACCAGAGCGCCAGGAGTTCTCAAAGATCTGTGCCAGAGGCTGGGCTCTGATGCTCGCCAGCTCCTTGAGTACCCTGGGGTGTAGATTGTCAGGGCCAGCTGACTTGAAGGTATCCAGCCTCTCAAGGTGTTCCTTTATGAGGTCAGCATTGATGGAGGGCACGGGATCTCTCTCACCCGGACTCCCTGTCCCATAGTGGGCATGGGTGTCCCATGAGACTAATGAAAGACTGATGCAAAGTACCCATTTAATAGGTTGGCTTTTTCCTGGGCGTCAGTTGCCAGC